CTATATAGCTCGTTTTCAGAAGCGACCTGGCCACAAATGATCGCTCAACGATGTGGCTTATCATGCAGACATTTATAGCAGCCAAAAACTCTAAACGCACGTTTCTGAAGAGGTTACCACAAAAACTGCGATTCAAATCGACACGCGGAAGTAAATCAAGAGGAAGACATCGGATCGGATGGTAGACACAGCATTTGCACATTGGGATTTAACAACAGCACACAAAGCGGTGACAGAAGGGAGTGGAGCGACAACGTGCCGATAGCACGATGATGATAAAGAGGGAAAATTGGCACCACCAAACACCGACGGGAAACCTGTATTTAAAACCAGGTGAGGGCCCGGTGAGACTCGGGTCTCTTCTTTTTTGTAAGAGACATGGCGACAAGATCGGCACCACTCAATGGGAAGTTAACAAGTGATCGCCACATGGGCCCACAGGCTATCGACAGCCACAGGAGCGCAGAATGCCGGGGGCCCACCGGTGAAGACGAGTACCACCCACAACAACTTGTTTGTGCACTTTGACATTTAGTTTTAACTCTCAAAAGGCGCATCTGATGTGCGCCTCACGCTATTAGGCGACCACCACTTGATGTTGTCAAAACGTTGTCGTCTTATTGGCCTCCCATTCTCCTCGCCGCGATTTAAATTCAGCGACGTTGACACTCACTCCTCGCTCCAATGACATTTTCTGAACCAGTGCTGGAAATTCCACATTGCTCTGACGAGAGTCGAGTCCAACCATCCATAGCATAGGTGACAACACTCGTGTCTTTCGCCAACAGTGATAGCAATCACAGGGTACAGGGGAGTTGTCTGCGAGGCACTATTATACAGCCACAACCACAACAAAACAGTGGGCTTTACACATGTCACGCTGTAGAGCGATGATAATTATAATACTACAGTCAAAAGGTTAAACGCGCCGGGGCCTGCTTGCATAAAACAACTGTATCTGACTTCTACCCTTAATGTTACACCTCTGAGCTCTCGAGTACACGTGTTAGGTCACGTTTAATTTAACACGTAGCAGGCTTTCACGACCAATATCATCAATAAGAGGTTTTTTGGGGTTAGATCGCGTAAATGTGTCGTTAAAACCCGCCACCACCCGACACAACCAACTTAGTAAGGGCTGTCACGTAAACAGAACGTGCCAGGCCACAGTATGTTGTGGCCTGGCACGTTCTGTTTACGTGAAATCAACACCATGTCACGTCACTTGAGACAGTAAATCTGTGACGGTCCCACCTGACGACGGAGACTTGTGTTGCCTCCGAAACGTCGTGATTTTTTATTTTTTTCAATTATATTACTTATATTTTACCTACGTGACTTTACCGAAAAACCTAAGAGTATGAACCGTAAGTTGTGGCCTGTCATGTTCTGTTTACGTGAAATCAACACGGTATGTGGTCTGACACGTTTTGTTTACGTGAAATCAACACCGTATGTTGTGGCCTGTCATGTTCTGTTTACGTGAAATCAACACCGTATGTTGTGGCCTGTCATGTTCTGTTTACGTGAAATCAACACCGTATGTTGTGGCCTGTCATGTTCTGTTTACGTGAAATCAACACCGTATGTTGTGGCCTGTCATGTTCTGTTTACGTGACAACCCTCACTAGTTGGCTGTGTCGGCTAGGTGGTTGCGGGTTTTAACGACACATGTATATATTTACGCGATCTAACACCCAACATAACCCTCTACTGTGAACTTAAGTTGTTGGCGAGCACCTCCGGCAGGGCCGTCACCACGCCCGGCCGCCTTTGTCTCCCCGCACCAGAGCTTCGTGTAGAGAGGCCGAGTCGACCTAGGGGAGGCCCATGCCCGGCTCAGATAATTCGTCAACGAGGTTGGCCGCGAGTCGGAATCGAACCCGGGCTGGGTCCTGGGCTGGGTCCGGGGCTGGGTGGGTAGCGCAACGCACGAACTTCACCCGCAGCTCCCCGCACACAACACCCACCGCCGCCGCCACTCGCCCCGACACGTACGAAACCTACCACAGACATCAACAACAACAACGACGACGACGGCGACGCGAGAGATGACAACTTGTCACCAAGATGGAAGGAAGTTGTCGTACTTGTTGCACGCGTAAGACGCGAGCAAGGCGGGGAAGGAGGGCGCGGATTTGACAGCACGGATAGGGCGCCGCCACCTCGCACATTCCCTACAGCGGATAAGACGCCCACCACGTGACCCGCGCGGGGTGGGGGGTGCGGGGGCTGATGGGGTGGGGGATAAGGGGGGGGGGTGCGGGGGGTGGGGGATGAGGGGGATGATGGGGTGAGGGATGAGGGGGTAAGGGATGAGTGGGTGATGGGGCTGCGGGGATAGGGGATGAGTGGGTGGGGGATGAGTGGGTGGGGGGTGCGGGGGGTGGGGGATGCGGGGGATGGGGGGTGCGGGGGATGAGGGGGTGAGGGATGAGTGGGTGGGGGATGAGTGGGTGGGGGGAGCGGGGGATGCGGGGGGTGGGGGATGCGGGGGGTGGGGGGTGCGGGGTGCGGGGGATGAGGGGGTGAGGGATGAGGGGGTGAGGGATGATGGGGTGGGGGATGAGGGGGTGAGGGATGAAGGGGTGGGGGATGAGTGGGTGGGGGATGAGTGGGTGGGGGATGAGTGGGTGGGGGGTGCGGGGGGTGCAGGGGGTGCGGGGGGTGCGGGGGGTGGGGGATGCGGGGGGTGGGGGGGTGAGGGGGTGGGGGGGTGAGGGATGATGGGGTGAGGGATGAAGGGGTGAGGGATGAGTGGGTGGGGGATGAGTGGGTGGGGGGTGCGGGGGGTGGGGGGATGAGTGGGTGGGGGGTGCGGGGGGTGGGGAATGCGGGGGGTGGGGGATGCGGGGGGTGGGGGGGGGTGAGGGATGAAGGGGTGGGGGATGAGGGGGTGGGGGATGAGGGGGTGGGGGGAGAGGGGGGTGGGGGATGCGGGGGGGCTAGAGAAGATTTGGGTGGATGCCGCACAGGATGTAGAGCCGAGTGGACTTATCGATGACCGGTTCCAGCGGTGTCAAGATCGACCCCCATGGTGGAGGTTCGTGAAGGACGCTGTTTCTGGGCAGTTGGAGGCAGTCGCCCTCCAACAATAGCGGAGGGCAGAGGAACTAACGCTCACAACAACGAGCGGAACGCCGAATGGATTAAACGCATACTCTTTGGTTTTTTCGGTAAAGTCGCGTAGGTAAAAATGTAAAATAAATGTGGACACACTTAAGCGGTGTGCTTTCGCTAAGTTGTCCCCACCTGAAGAAGGACGCTTGTGTTGCGCCCGAAACGACGTGATTTATTTTATTTTTTTACCTACGTGACTTTACCGAAAAAACCAAAGAGTATGAATCCTTGCAGTCACTAAAACTTCAAATCTAGGCTAAAACGCAGATAGGTGGCACAGCGGTGAGCACAGGTATCTGCATGTCATCTCAGTCAACCCCTAACATCTGAGACTGTCCCGTGATCTCCTATCAGTGAGTCTTCGACACTTCACGTGGCCTCAAAATCCACCTAGCCTGGCACAAACGCCGTGATGACATCACTGCCACTTAGTGGACGAGTGGTTTCAGTGCGGTGTATCACTGGAACTCTTAAGTTCGACCCCAACACCGTGGCTGCCGATGCTGTCACACATCTCGCCCCCACCCACCCATCCGCCACAACGCTACAACCCTCCGGGAAGTCCTGCGAATCGATAAAAAGTCGCATTCCCATTAATCAGGACCTCAATAACGTCCCCTGTCGTCGCTTTTGGACCCCGGCACTTAACCTTCAACAATGCGCGTTCAACCCCGATGAAGCTTGGAGAGCTGAATGGAGTTCAAAAGATCTGACGAACACCTTGTGAAAGACCCAACGGGGCTCACGGTCCACCCTAAACCGCATCCACTGCACAAACCATGACAGGCAGATGCAGACACCTGATGCACAAATGAAAAAAAAAAACTCTCCAGTGTGCGACTGTGGCCATCTAGAACAGACCATGTCAACATATCATGGACCCAATGCCCGATCCACAAATACGAATGAGACGTCACAGCGATACACTCCGATGCTCCTGAAGAGGTTATCTGGCTTGACCGCCCGAACGTGACATTGTAGTTGTTGCCTCTGCATTCACAAGGTGGCGAGATGTTAACTACCTCGCCTGGTATGCAGGCCTGGTATGCAGGAGGTCGTGGGTTCGATCCCGACCCTGATGCCTGCTGTATATTTGGAGTTTGCATATCTCTCCCCGTGATGGTGTGGATTTTTCTCCGGTTTCCCCCCTACACGTTTAGAATCAACATGCTGCTATAAATAAATGTCCACGTAATAAGCCACTTGGTGGTTGAGCTATCATCTGTGATTCTAGATTTGAAGCTTTCGTGATTGCAAGGATTCATACTCTTAGGTTTTTTTCGGTAAAGTCACGTAGGTGAAAATACAAATAAAATGAAAATAAATCAATTAAATCACGACGATGAATGATGCTTGTGTTGCCTCCAAAACGTCGTGATTTATTTCATTTATTATTATTATTTTATTTTTATTTTCACCTACATGACTTTACCGAAAAAACCTAATAACTATCATCTGTGGTTTGATCGCTTCTGAAAAATATATAAATAGCTCAGTGGGCCTTACCTGGTAAAATATTAAAAGTCGTTTAAAAATATGGGACATTTCCCATATTATCTGTGGTGTGGACACAATTATCAGAGCGTGGTTTTGTTTTGCATGTTCACCACAAGTACGCGTGCTTAATGCAGACACGATTCCTTGCCAAAGGTTTCTGTTTCAGTGTTTGCCCATGCTTAACACCTATTTTATTGCCAGAAAGGGCCAAACCCATCCTCGTAAGTAGTTTCATCGTTCGACGTCATTTAAATCGTTCGAAAGCAGAAGCACGAAGCGTCCCACGCGGTTGAGGCACCCCACTCGATGACGTCACTGGGGTGTCGCCCTCGCGTCCGTGGCGCGTCACGTGACGCCCCTCATCCGGGTCCCCGCGCTCCGCCCGTCACGTGACGTCCCGCCCCGCCACAGCCACCCTCGCTGTTATGGCCGCTCTGGGTGAGGCGATCCTGGGGAGCTGCTCTCTCCTCCTCCTCCTTCTGCGCCTTCTCTTCCAACCCCGAGCCGTTCCAATCCGTATCGTGCACACGAGACGTCGCGCCCGCTCTTTGCATTCACGCCCCGTTTGTCGCCGATGCACACACGCACGCACACACGCCTTAACGATGTCACATCCTCGAAAGCCGAACCCACCGAGCTCGCCTAGTCGCCCTGCCGTGCACGGCGAGGGATTTCCCGCAGGCGTCGAGGGTTCCGTTCGGTGTAGGCCCGTGACGCTTGGAAGACGCGTAGTTGACGCAGGCGTCTCAAATAGGAGCCGTGCTTGTGTACGCGTCGTGTTGTTTGCTGCAGAGGGTGTGGTGGGGGAAATGTGAGGTGCAAGGTTTTTGTTGTGCGTGTTTGTGTTCTAGATGCCTCTGCATAGCAAACGGGCGCGTCTTCCCCGTCGATGCTACTGTTATGGGTTGTGCAAATAATTGTGAAATATTTACACTTTGTCGTTTTTAACAGTCCCTTCGTTCTCTCCCTGCTCTGGTTGTTTATGGCTGACCCTTTTTTATATATAGCGTGTTGAGAACTGCTGTCATTAAGCTATGCTGTAAATCTAAATCACATTGCACAAGCTAATGTAAACATGGAAGGGCTTTTTTGTTATTAAATTGGCCACCGTGTTGTGTCGACGACAGCGCAGAAGTTCCCCTACAGACGCAATATTTAGGCGCTCAAAAGCTCAAGTTTAACCGTTCACGTGTATCTAAGCGTGATGGCTGTTCGGGCGTTGACATGGCCGAGCGTTAGCGCATTTGCAGCGGTTCGTGGTTCCATTCCACAGCCGCCCTGGTTAATACTGATTGAGTGTTAACCACATACGCGCCGTCTACTTAACAGTGGAAGTTAAAAGCCCCGTGACGTTTTCGAAAACGCGGGCCATGTGTGTTAGATTTACGGTCCGAATATGAAATATTACTCAAATTATCTACACTATGGGGACCTCATTTGCCAGTAAAAATATGATAATTGGTTCTTTACCCTTCTATCTGGCAACAAAACTGACACCTTTTTGCAAGGAGTCATGTTTGCATAGACCGCAATACCTGCAGTCATAATACAAACAAAAGAACATAACTCTGATAATGTGCACTGTCCTTGAAGTTGATTGGTCCACACCCGAGACAGCTTTCCTTCGAGCCTAGTCTCATAAAAGCTGTCTCGGGTGTGGACCAATCAACTTCAAGGACAGTGCACATTATCAGAGTTATGTTCTTTTGTTTGTATTATGACTGCAGGTATTGCGGTCTATGCAAACATGACTCCTTGCAAAAAGGTGTCAGTTTTGTTGCCAGATAGAAGGGTAAAGAACCAATTATCATTACTCAAATTATTTAATTTGAAAACGGAATTTGTTGCCCCACACTGCAAAATTTTGCAGTGTGGGGCAAAATTCAGTTTCTGAATTGGAGAGAAATTTATACCGACAGTCTGGAAACATCATAGAGCAATTTTAAAAGTACTGTACTTCTAGTAAGCTGCTCATCCAAAATGATATATTTTGGAAGCATCCTGCACTAGATAGTTGGGCAGTTCCTTGATTATTTTGCATGTGGAAAGAAAGCGCTCAAATTATCTTAACTAGACCTTTAATTTTACCGGGTAAGACCCACTGAGCTATACAGCTCTTTTTCAGAAGCGACCTGGTCACAAATGATAGCTCAACGAAGTGGCTCATGTGGAAAGGGATGGATGGCATTGGTATGGATTTCAGAGTTACTAATGAGTCTTTTGCACGTGTGAGGAAAGTGGGATACATGTTAAATAATGGGGTAAAATTGCACCCGTGCTTGATGCCAAATCACAGATGAAATTTTCCTCTCAAGGATTTTGCGTGCATTGCATCCAAGAGGCAACCAATTTTGTTTCGCGGTTTTTTACACGATTAATTTCTAATGTTCTTTTGCAGGGAAAAAGAAGCCCAAGAAGGGTAAAACCGTCAGCCTGAACGACTTTCTGGCTGAAGATGCAACTGCGGGAAGTGTATTTGTGCCACCAGTTCGACCGGTCAACTGGGCAGATGAAACTGAAGATTTTGAAGGAGAAGGTGAATTTAGGGATGTCAAATACGTAAAGCGTTTTAAGGCCCTTTTGGCTTTTTCAGATAGTATATCACATGTTGGAATACTGCTTGCAGTGTCATATTGTAACCTGAAACGGACCCATGTGAATGTCGTGCAAATACATCTAGTATATATATACACACTAGGTGTATAATATATTAAAATATAACTTGTACTCAATAAAAAGTAAAACATTGGAAAGATGCTGCTGTGGGGTAATGGATAGCATACTTAACTTCATATCCAGAGGTTGCCGGTTTGATCTCTCAGTACTGGACGAGTTTCTTAAATTCACCCCCCCCCCATATCACCACAGTCGATGGGTAGGTGACATGTTTTGGGGGTGAAAGTGTGGGTATTCTACACTTCCAAAAGGTCTGGTCAGTTTGGAAGAATAGACCAAATGTCCTCTAGCGCTCCCTCTAGTGGAGAGCTTTCTGCCAGCATTGGTGTGAGAGCAAGAGCTTGCAGGGGTGCACAACCTTTATTTAAGAAGTCTGAATTTGACACGGAGGCAAACTGAAACATTGAAGCAAGGATGTCTATAAACGGTGTCAAGGTTTTTTTTTGAATAGTTACTTTTAGTTCACTGTCTGGAATAGTTGTAATGTAAAATCTTAATACGTGGACTACAGTGTCAACGGCCTGGCCTGCTGATGATGGTGTGTACAAGCCTTCAGTGGATCGTGCACTGCTGCCCACTGCCCCACGTGCTGCCCGTGCCCCCAGTGTGGACATGGCACGACTGCCCGCCAAACCACCTTACACCGCTTTCCTTGGCAACCTGCCCTATGATGTGACCGAGGAGTCAATTTTCAAATTCTTCACATGGACTCAAGGTTTGTTCCAAGTTTTTTTTTTTCTGGCAGCTTGCTTGTGTTCAGGAAGGAGTGTTTAAAATGATATTTGTTTCCTCAGCAGGAGGTTTAGCTTGGAGGAAATTACAATTGCTGATGAGTTTAGGAAAATATAACTTGATTGTACCGAAATAAAGATGCACCTTTAAATAAGTGATTTATTTATTATCTGAGAGAATATATGTAAAGTAGGTATATATTAGAATCGTAGCCTTTATATATGAAAACAACCACCAGGGGTATCTTTATTACAATTACTGGGAAATGCCTTGTGCTTATCAAGTAAAAAATAGACTATCGTTTTTTGCCCCCCCAATGCAATTTTTAATACATTAAAGAAGCGACAGCACAAGAGCTCACACTAGGTCACCTCTAATGCATGTAGTTGTGTTTAAAATATCTCTGAATGTACCAATCCTCCCCACTGAGCATATAGCACTGCAATCCCTGGGTATTTTATATGCATTAAAAAGAAAATTCCAAATGTGAAAAGTTTTAATAGAACTCTGTTTCAGGTCAGTGCTGTACGCTTGCCACGTGAAGCCAGCAACTCTGACCGGCTCAAGGGCTTTGGGTATGCTGAATTTGATGACATTGAGTCTCTCATGAGGGCTCTGGCACTTAATGATGAAGTGAGTAATATTTTTTCAAACTTACATCAAATATGTAGAAAAAGTTGAAGTTTATTACTTTTTCTTTTATTCTTATGAAAAGCACCCTACAGATATCCTTTTAAAGATGGTGCACCTTTGTTTAATATTAGTCGTGAACATTTTGCAAGTAAAATATGAATATATTTTGGATGTGATAAATTTTTAAGATACATCCAGACATAGTATTTTTTTAAGGTACAAACATATTGCGTTATCACTGGTATAGTAATATTCTATATATCACACCTTGCATGTTTCTGCATTTGTAGATGTTGCGGAACAGAAGAGTAAGAGTAGATATAGCTGATCAAACACAAGGTAAACTTTAATTTTTTATTTTAACAATATTACACGATGACCCCAGAAATGCTCATAGATAAGTCCTTGGGAACTGTCGGTGTGTCTGCTGCTATATGTGGTTCTTCTTCACGTGTGTGTGTGAATAGACCGAGATGACCGTGGAGGTTTGTCACGTGACCGGGACTGGAGCCGTGATGACAGAACAGATAATGACTGGCGGTCTCGATCCAATAACAACAACGTCGATGACTTCCCACGCCGAAACGGGGACCAATATGGAGATCGTGATCGAATGTCGAGCTGTAAGAATCGCCCAAAAACTTTTACATCCTTAGTTTTTTCAGTAATTTTACATTAATTTGGATGCTTCCACAGTGTAATGGTTAGGATGCTGGAATTAAAATTTAGAGGGCACTGGTTCTTAAATCCCAGCCATTAGTATAAATGGTTCCACCACAATTTGTCGATTGGCAGGTCGACTGGGTAAAACTAACAACAAGTCTGCCCATATTGGAAGTTGGGCCGAATGCCCTCTAGACCGGGGGGGTGGGGGTCATCATTGGGTCTTTCCCCCTTTTCAAAGAAACTCTCCAGCGACGTTTATTTTTGACTCATTTTGGCTAGGGGTCAGCTTGTGGGCTTACCAAAACCGTGACTAAGACAAGTGCGCAGTGCGGGAAAGAGGCGCGAACGGAAGTGGCAGATAAAATAATGGGCGGGCCACGCGCGGACTCACCGCTCACCTCCTGCTGTGCGGCCCGGTTCCTAACAGGCCACAGACCGGTACCGGTCCGCGGCCCGGGGTTGGGGACCCCTGCTCTAGAGGGGGTCTAATAGTGGAGACCATTCCACCAGAAGTGACGTGAACAAGCAATTGCAGGGCTGAAGCTTTACGTTTGAAATGATTGACAAATGTATTTGTCCAACCAACGTGTTAATTTCCAGAAATATGTATACGTCTTGTTTTTTCCCAGGGGGCCGAGATCGTTATGAGCCAGATCGAGAGCGATTTAGAGATCGGGAGCGCTCATTTGGGCCGCGACGAGATGTGGATCATTACCGGGACAGCCAGGACCGTTATGACGATCGTGACAGTGGTTATGATGACAGGAGGAGCAGCGATCGGGGTCAGTTATTCTCTTGACGTGGCACTTGTATTTGTCGCTTAATTTTAGAACGTAGAAATAAGAATTGTGCATGAAAGGTCCAAAGTTGTTTGTAGGTTCTTGTAGTAGATCATATTGCTTGAAGATACTGCATTTGTTTTTAAAGCTGGGCAGCGGAAAAGTTTAGGCCAAATGCCTTTAGGAGGTGCTCTCTCGGGGCGCACTCGAGTGGGAGACCCTTCCGCCAGCAGTAGCGGATAGTCAAAGCCAAGGCAAACATTTCTTTCATATGGATTAGTACCCATTATCTCTTACATAATTTTAATAGAAGTGTTTTGTTTTACAGTATATCATGAGTGAAAATTGGGCCTGGACAAGTGTGAAGTTTCAATCAATGAAAATAAATGGCTGACCACTGGCCACTGCTGAATTTAGGTTGAACTATGTGGTACTTGAAATGCCGAAACATTTTTAAAAGGATGCAATCATTAAAATATATTAGTAATTTCGAAAATGTCATTTAGAGTAATTCAAGCATATCCTGTTAATTATTTGCACATTACGATTTGTGCGAAGAGTGCACCATTGTAAACCTGCAGAGTGATCCAATGCATCTGGCAGGCTCAGACTTCAGAAGTGGACGCCGGCCCTTTGGATCTGGTTTCCGAAGGGAGAGTTATGATGACCGACATGATGACTATCGAGGAGATCGCTATGGTGACAGAAGAGAGGAGCGCTTTGAAAGGAGAGGAGATTACGGGCGGAGGGACGATTATATCAGGGAGGAGAGAGGTGAATTTTGTAATATTTTATTGCAAAGCTATAAAATATGAAAACGTGCCTAAAAAATAAATATGGCAATATATTCTTCAGCCCGATGACTTGAAAGCGGGAAACCTTTTTTACGTAATTCGCGCTCTTTTCAATGCAACAAAATAAATCCACTGTTAACATGTAAGGGCGTTATCAGCCGCCTTTATTCGGCAGGTCCTGTACAACGGCCCAAGCTCAACCTGAAGCCGCGGAGTACGCCCAAGGAGGAGGGCGTGCCGCCACCTCCTGCACCTGCCACTCAGAAACTGGCCTTCATTTTTGGTGGTGCCAAGCCGGTGGACACCGCAGCTCGTGAGAGGGAGGTGGAGGAGAGACTCAAGCGTGAACAGGAGGAGATGGAAAGGCGCCTAAGTGAACAGGGGCGCCTCGGAAAACCCGAGTGGATCCAGAGGGAGAGGTGATGTATAATATGCCTGGTATATCCATAGCCATTTAAGTACATTTGCAGGTATGTTATATTTTAAGTTGGTACAACATGCATGAAATGTGTCGTTGTTTTGTGCACCAAACTATTATTTTTATTTTCTTTTGTCGTATTAACTTTAAAGTATTTTTTCTTTGCAGAAATCTTCAATTATTGTGTTTCATGGAAGTAGCCTGCTGCCAAAGAAGAAGTGTTGTTTTTGCATTATTTTTACATGTGTGTGGAAAAGACTAGATTACTTTCTTTTGCTAACCCAGTGTGCATGCATCATTGGAGGAATTGGACTCAATTAATTTTGATACTTTATTGACAATAGCTTTGATAATTTTTGTCTTGCTTATTTCCATTTTTGTGAAAGTTGGAGAGGCGTAACTAAATAGATATGTAAATTTAATGTAAATGACATGAAATCCTAAATTCGTGTAGTTTGGGAAAATACATTTTGGGCTATTTTTTTCCCCATATTAAGGGACTTCTTCCATTGTTGATGCACCATTGCCATGTTCTGCTGCCTTTTTTGTCCAGAGGTTGTGCCATTCAAGCTTTTAACATTAAATGGAACAATAAAGTAATGCCCCATGGGCAGGATAATTCAAAAGAGATGAAATAGGAAAATTTATCATTCAGTTATAAAATGACGGTAATATATGGCCATAACATATGGCCATTGTTACCTACCTATGCAAATGGTTGTGAGATGGTTATTGTTGATTTAAGCGGAGAGTACCGCTTGGTTGTTCCCCCATGAAGGATGGCACAATCTGCGATGCTGCTCTCATCATGCAGCTCCGGGTGCTGGGTTGGGTTGTGCACGTCTCCTTCCAGGCGCTTCTCCACCCCCCTAGCACACTAGAGGCGAGTGCTCTCTCTTTTTGTATGTATGCCCGTGAATTACAAATGAAGAGGACATTTGCCTCGTACGAGTACGTACCTCGCGGTTGTGTTGCATAGCTCTCTGATGTCTTGTTGAGTTATACCACGTGTTGTTCGTCATGAGGTCTAACCTTTCGGTTCCTGAAGTTCCTGAAACGAAACATCGAACATCATGCCGAACAACACCGGTACAACAATTAAACATATCGGAGAGATACAGGCAGAGACCTCGCTTCGTGCTCAAGATGCGTTGCTGGAGAAGTGAGCGCTAATAGAATCAGCCCTAAGAGGGCTCATCATTGTATATATGGGGATGTGTTCATGACAGCATTGTTACGTATGAGCAGATGGTAAACATTTAACAAATAAAAATAATGTATTATAACATCAGTCAGTATTATGTATTATACTCACGAGTGCATTCTCCTCTCTTACAAGGCAGTGGTGGGGAGGTTTCTTTTAGATAGAGCCTGAGACTACATCCTGGTCTCACGAGTTCTCACCTGGCTAAACAAATATTGTAGTACCATTGAAAAAAAATCGATAATTTTTTGGGGCTGTGATCGTGATCACAAATCCTGATAATTATCGAATTGTAGGGGTTGGGGTGATTTTGGTTCGGAGCGTACATCGCTCTCATTGGCTGAGTGAATGTAAACAAATATGACACCAGGTACGTATCCTCGACAAGCGCTGCGTGTTCTCACTCGTAAGTGCTTTTTATATTTTAGGATTTTTGTTTTTTGTAATAATTTTCTCCAGGGCAAAGAGCGTGAAAAGGGATCGGCGTTCTACCGGGTAGTGCTTAGCGAGGTCTGCCTGTATTTAGCTCCTAGAGCTTTTCCCTTGTTTTTCTTGCAGTTTTTCCATACTATTTCACAATATTCTCAACTCTCATCCGGGTTTAACCCAGAACTTTGTGGTGGACTGCCCATCTGCTGTTGTTACATCAGAGCCTAGTTGCCTTTACTTGCCGACTATTCATTGTTACTCTTGCCCAATTACACAACAATTTCTCTTGAGGGTGCTCATTTATATTGTTGTTTTCAGTTATTCAATGTTATTGTGCAGTGGATTTAGTGTCTGCCAAAGCATCAGTTATTGAACCTCTATGTATTATAGTACAATGCTAGTAATCCAGGCGATCAAGGTCAGAATAAAATGTTCACTTGTGTCATGTGCCCAATGCCGATAAGACTTTGCTGCACACACTGCTTCCATTGCCGCTGAGTTTCCAGGTTTGGTTTTTCATAGTTTTTCATAATCAAGGTATTATATATGTACATTTGATAAAAGTTGTAATTTTAATGTATCGTGAGCATACAATACCGTTTGACAATGTGTTGCTCTTAACATTCAGGCAGTGCAAGAATTGCATGGAGGGAAAGTTTATGGTTCAATGTTGGCTTGTACGTACATTTACTGAGTTTCATTGGAATATCCTTCTGTGCACGCAGAATAGGGAGCTAACATTCTAGTCTTGTTACACACGTTTATATGCTGCTTGTGTATTCGTAGTGCTCTACCATATAAAGTACAGAGAGATATAAGACGTAATATTTTTCCTGAAATGTTTTAATTAATTTGATGAATTACCTTTTTTGGATTAGTATTCTACCATGCTATAAAATTCATTAAGATATGAATAAAGAAATAGTATCATTAATTAATGTATTAGATAAATTGCTATTGTAGATGAGTTGTATACTGTACTTTGAAATAATATAAGATATATATATCCTGTAAAATGAAGTATAAATGCAATTTCCAGTAATATTGGTTGCTTTTATATGCAAGGCAGATTATTTTCTGCCATGCAAAATAGTGAAGGACTCCTGTGTCTACATCATGGATTAATTTAATGGTTTTTACTAATGCTATGAAAAGCAGGACATTTGCCAGAGGCCTGTCATTATACACCGCAAGTCTGCACAACTATTAAATCGTGAAATACAAACATTGATTTATTTGGAAGTTTAGTAAACAAAGTTGCCGTTCCCACGTTTATTTTTGACTTGTTAATCATAATAAATTTTGCTGCTAAGCATGATGCATAATTTATAAACTGATAAAAGTAGAAAATATAATCGAACCCTTATTGACAAAAATGTCTACATGCAACAAAAATGTTTATCCTAAAATTAATCGTGTTAACATATAAATTGAATACATGACGTTGACGATAAGTATTTCACACACGTGAAAAACACACTAAAGCTGATGGCCAAAAATGTTGAAACGTTTATTTTTAGATCTCTGAATAGACCTTATTTGAAATAAAAGTTATACTTTCATCTCCATGGTGTCAATAAACACAGTGCAGCAATTTTAAGACAATATTATCCACATGGTGCCTTGAATCTCATTTGTAATTTTTTTAGGGTGGATAGTAAAACAACGTACAAACATTCTTGCAGCCGAAAGCGCTTGGAAAATTTGAAAAAGAGTTAGTATAATTTTTTTTACGTGCAAATAATAAGTCACGGGGTATCTGCCCTGCTTGCTATAAGGGTATTCTTGTGAACGTATGGTCTCGCCTATGCTGCGTTGTCCCGGCAGACATCCCAGCTGGCGCAGCGATGACGATCGTTTGGAGCGGCGCCCCACCAGTGACACCTCGGAGACCGGCCGTTCATCTCGGGGAGCCAGTGCCACAAGCAGTGCATCTGCCAGGGGTAGGTGTGGTCCTCTCACATGACCACAGTGATGGATTTCCATTCCATTTAAGCATGTGCGAATTGAGTGACGTGTATTATTCCGTTCGCATGGGAGACCGGAATACAAGAATGAAAAAAAAAGTGTTTTTATTTATTGTTGAGTTGACTTAAAGCTATCGCACATGTTTCACTGCTCAAAGACTACACATTGCCGCTCACCCTCAACATTACAGAGGCTGCTGCACCTATTTTACCTCATACAAACACGTTTTATGGCAAACATTTTGACCATTGTCAATCTAGCTGCTTAACAGGCTACTTTGTGGGTGTTGTAATAAAAAAAGGACATGGGTTTCACGTCATATCGGATTCAGCAACAATTTGATTTGCTTTCCCTGAGTGAGTGGCTCTGTCATGCTGAATTCAAAATAGACATTTGCATTAAATGGTTTTACATTTATTTTGTATGATGTGGCAGGCCCACGGGTCCGTAAAGAGAGTGATGTGTCTGGAGATAATGAGGTATTTACTCGGGAAGATAGACCTCTATCACCGGCCACCCGACCCCCTCGCCAGCCAGAACAGCAACCGCAGCAATCAAGCCAGCAGAGAGAGCTGCCGCAGTTAGTGCCACAAGCGACACCACAGACGGCCGCTAAGTTGGTGCCCGCTCCACCACCCAAGGAGAACGCTTGGGTCAAGCGTTGTGGATCTACAAGAGTTGGTCCTACTTCACCCACGCACCATGGTGCCACCACCGAACACCTTTCAGAACTGCCACTGTGCCAGGAGAAAACACAAGCACACAAACCGGCTAACAGGTCAGCACTGTTGGCTTTATATTTCCACATTAATGAATGGTCCCATTATTGCCGTTGCATCATTTCACTTTTGGTAGTGGTCATCAGTGTCGCTGAAAGTCGTTTTTTTATGACCTTTGGATTTTTTTTTATTTTACGTGACATTTGTGATGTTGCTGTTGGAGCTAATCGATACAAAAAATGTCATGTGAACACCTCCACAGAGTGCCGGTAATGCACGCGCGCAAGATTTTGTAAATTATTCTCAATATTGCAATTTTTTACCGATGTCGTGTTAAGAGGCGGAGATAGTTCGTGACCCTTTATGTTTATGCATTTTATTCCAGTGTACCTTCCAACAAGATGCCTTCCACAGCAACATATTCTCGTGGAGTTGCTGCAGACAAGGACCTAAAACTATTGCCAGATGGCAGCAGGACAACCAAGCTCAACGGTTTGTATACTTAAACATGTATTCATATTGTGTAAACAATATAAACGTTCTTGAAAATGTGGTGTTATTCCATATTTCATAGTTAAGGTGTACACCATGTTCATATTAATATCTTGTTCTTCAAAAATGTGGTTTTACATTTTTTTATTGTATAAAACTCCGGCCACTGGCATTATTTTATTTGGCATTTCTCCAATTGATTGGGTTGTAATTGGAATTTACTGTCACTAATTTTGAATATCTTTAAAAAGTTGAGTCTACGGCAGTATATGCATTTGTAATCTGTAAATAATCTGTTAATTATAAGTTATTGTAAGATGTTTTCTTGCCCAATTATTCATGCTTTGTTTGCTGTGTCTACACTGTGCATATCCTTAAATTATTTCAGCTCCCTAAAGATAATTCATTGCTTATAAAATTTTCATTGCTTTTTTAAAGCAATTATTCTTTCGTCAAAATTAGATATTGTAATTATTTTCAATTTGCATAAGTATTATTCAATCGACATGTCTTTGAATTAAATTTGCCAAGTGGTTGTGTATTCTTGGCTGTCCATGAAAAGATGATTTTGAAGGGAAGCCAGACGCCACTACTGGCCGCACAGAGAAAGCCGGAGTGCGAGCCAAGAACAACCTGAATCGTGGTAAAGGCCGAGGACGTGGCATCATTGCTGTCAAAAGAGACCCTGACAGGTTGGCTGTTTAGACACATTACTGACAGCATATATGACTCAACTTCTTAGGTTTTTTCGGTAAAGTCACTTTACTAAAAAAACCTAAGAATATGAATCCTTGCAGTCACAAAAGCTTCAAATCTAGAATGACTCAACTTCTCGCACGCAAGTAAATGAGACCACACCCAAATAGTCCAATACCTTAATTGTCTCCCAATACAGTAATGGATCCGCTGAACGTTCATCCTCCTCATCTTCCAAGTTCCTCCACTGACTCGTTCCTCCCGCCTCTTCCGTATTATCTTGCTCTACTCCACCTGCCACATCCTCTCTCCACTCTTGTAACGAAGTCATGCCAAGACCTTTAGTCCAACTCTGTTCTATGGAAGGTTGTTCCTTCTCCACAGCTGCCACTTAATCTGGAATTACCTCTCCTTGACTGTCTGAGCTGCAGAGACATCTCCCCTGTTCAGGTCCAGGCTCAATTCCTTCTTCCTCTGTAACGTTTCTGAAATGTATCTTTATTTTCAACCTACCATACCATCACCCCTTTCTCTCTATGCCTTGCAGCCCCCCTCTGAAAAAGATGATAAAAGACAAATTCGTATTGTCTTGAAAATGCTCTGGATAATCATATCCGGCCTTTGTTCATTACCTTGATATGCAGTCACATTTAGATGCTTTAGAAACCCAAATTGGAAAACATGGTTAAAGAATATTTTTAGCAGTTATATTTGTGTTGTTTTAATGTTGCACATGTTACGTGGCCATGGGAATTCTTGCTTTGTGCTGTTGGAAATGAGCTTGATGTGTAAACATTTCAACGAGCAGTTCGCACTTTGTTAAAGAATACAAACTGTAATTCAAATTTAATTTAAATAAGTATTGAGAGATTATTTGCAGTGGAGCTAATAAATAGCTGCTTTATCGACAGAAAGGAGAGCCGGAAAGAGAGAGAGTCGCAACTGATCGAAACAAAGAAATACGATGAGCCTGAGCCACTGGTGAGTTCTGTGCACATGCTAAATTGAGCGTCAAGAGCCAATACCAACACTTGAACCTTGGCGTGTAATCGCACCCCCACACTCTCCCGGTTTTACTCTGGTAGTATATGTATAGCTACTGTGACATTTGAAGGTTAAGCAATGTATGCAATATTTTTTCCGCTTAAAAAAAGATGTGGCGATGTAAAAGTGTGTGTGAGGTATGCTGTATTTCATTGAAAATAAATTGAGTTGAAATCAAGATTATGCCGTTTCAAGTCACGTGTGTTGTTGGGTACGCTTGATTGCTTTTTTATCTTCATATTTCAGAGTTTCAGCTCTGTCAGCAAGTTTTCTGCACTGAGTGTGGATGGAGACTTGGACTATGAAGACTGAATTCCTCTCATTGTCCCACACACACACTGATGTATGCTGTTCCTTAATGAGGTGCTACTTCATTGTTTGCTTTTTTGCGAAAGCAGTCTGCAATGTGTGTGGGACTATTTCATGCATGATGTTCTGACTCTTGAAAACCAATGTTGTTTTCCAGTTTTCATGTCCTTGAAAGACATTTGATTACGTGAGTTTTCTCTCTCTTAATTCTTAATAGGCAGTGTGTGCCACAGCTGTAATTTTGCTTGGCTTTGTTCGACTCCAACGGTGATGCGGTCAACTGAAAGCTGTTTGAAGACAGCGTTGAAGAGCATAATGTATCTGTTAAGAGATCCGTCATTACAAATTTAACTGCTATTCCAAGTGCATGATTTCAGCATACGTAAAACTTGCATGTTTTGTAGAAGAGCTGGCTTTTGGGCAAGACATGCTTAAAATATGAATAGATAATATATTTATTGTTGTGGTCTTGCAATCAAATACCATAGGGGACAAAGTAAATTCTGTGGCCATGCTGTAATTATCATTAATGTCAAGCTTCAACAAACAGCAGCTATTGCCCACGAGCTAATGGTGTTAAATCACGAACAGACATGGCAATTCTTGTACAAATGTACTGTAAACTGTGCAGTCAGCAAATACCTTAATTCATTGATGCGTATATAGCCTATTGCAAAAAAACAAACTTGCAATAAATGTTTGTATTTTACCTTCGTTTCTGCTGTTGGGTTCTTGCGTTCCTACATGTCTTTTTTAATAGACCATTATTACAACAAATGTAAGCACTGTTTTGTGTTATCCGTTTTCATGAAAATCTATTTTCTTATCCAGTATTGTGCTTGCGGTCGCGCTCAAAGCAGAGCTGCCGTATTGAGTGTTACATTTGCAGGCACCACTGATTTTTATTTAATAACTCCATGCAGTTGTATTGACTCGATTTGATCTGAATGATTTTGGGAAGCAGCTCTTAACAAAATATTGATGTGCTTTTTGCTCCTTCTGCTTTCATATACTGTACATATAACCTAGGGTAATTAAATAGGTGGTATTTAAATAAGGGCTATTTTATATACATATATCATTTTGTCGACAACATTTTATGCCCTAAATTTAAGAGTACTGTGAAGAGATTTTTGCCTTTAACATCATGTAAATTATACTGCATCGATATGCATATGCAACAGAAGCTGAATATAAGCACACCCCTAACCCTATTCGAAGTTACCCTTTGCCTTCCCCCACATCAGGGTGATGCAAGGTTGTGTTACATTTGAGAACTGTGCTTGTATAAGGTGTGCTTATATCCATCCAGCTTTTGCTTTGTGAATTTACTTTTCACCTCATTAATTCAGGTCAGAGTTGACTCAGCCCATCATCCCTTCAGGTTCAGTGGAATGAATACCACCTGGTAAGAAGCAAGTGGAGTGAAAATAAGAATGGTAATGCTGGAGAGAAACATGGGAATGCAGCATTTTCATCGCCGAATCAGGAACACCGGATATTTCATTTTTATTATGCTCGTTTACCCAGGACTCCCAATACTTTCATAAGGGTTCAGCAAGTTGTTTTCAGTAGGGGGCGATGTTGCTTAGTGTAATTCCAATTGAGTAATTGGCTTGTAATTTCTGAGCTATGGGATAATTGATCAATGCCAGTTGCTTTATTTTTTTAAATGTGAATGTGAACAACACCATTGTACCAAAGCTCATTGGGTGATGGACTGGCTAATCTCGCATGCAGTGCCGATGCGATGTACCCTGCATCACTGGTTCATTGTCATAAAAACATCAACCAAACTGACATCTACAGACAGCTCTGACGAAGGGTGTTTTATATTCACGTGGCCTAACCTGAGAAAGGGGGTGGCACGTGATGATAGTGAACTAACCAATATTCCCAGAAAGGTGCTTGGAAGGGTGAGTGTTCGATGTTGGATGGCCTGGAATCCATTGTGTTCTCTACATAGCCATTCCTTTGCAGAATATAACCAGTAGAACACTGATGCCAACGGGCAGTTTAAAATCAGATTATCAACATTGGGATATAACTTGATGGATTACTTTTAGTCACAATAAATAATCATCGGTTTTCCCGTGATGGTGAAATGTACATCCATGAAAGTCAACTTAGCCAAAATGAATAGAACAGTGTTTTAATTTGAATACCGCAATGCAATGTATGTAAAATCTTCGATATATTGCAGGTTTCACTTGAATTTCTCATTTTTACAATTCAGTATGGCAAAATTGCTCAGTTGGCCGCAAAGATTACGTAATATCTGCATCACACAATGTTTTACGAACGTCACGGAGTGGTAGATCATTTTATCATGGGACCTCTTCAGCACATTGCCCTTCATGATTCTCCGAAAGACGTATTTTTTTAACGCACACCAGCTCTTTAAAATCACATTTAGTCTGGGTGATTTTTCAAAAATTAACACGTTAAATGATTTGATGGACACATTAATCAAGCTCCATATATTAATTGTACAAAAAAAACCTCAATTAAAATTGAAGACATGGTTTTTATTACTAAATTAAGAATTACGTGTTAATTTATGAATGGTTTAATTACGGCTGACTTGAACGTTATTTACGTGCAGTTTGATGATCGTAAAACAAAGTATGCAGGACACGTGCTTGCATAACATCAAGGAAACATTGACATTTATTATAAATGACTTGTCAATATACATTGTTACGAGCACTTTTTTTACCTCTTCAATTCAAAGCATTTAAATGGTGCTCATTAAATGTCCAAAAAGTTCTGGTTATGGTCAACGCTTACAAAAATGTAGACTACCTCGGGACAAGATATCCCCAGCAAACCTATCGGATAAGCCTACCTTTTTTGGTGCACATTCACCACTGACAAAGCCGTTTAGCATACCATTAGAATTGGTATAACTGCATGCAGTTAAAGTAGCTGTAAAATGAAGTGGGCAATCCACAAAACCCAGACACTTTCAGATCAATCTCAATTACCCCTGCAGTAGGCAAAACTATTGCAGAGGTTGTTGTGAAAGAAATTGTGGACAATTTAAAGCACTACAGGCTATTGTCTTGTCATCAATTGGTTTCCTAAGCAACACGCTTTCTACAATTTTTCACGCATTGCTGCACAAACCATCGACCCTGCATCACTCGTAAGGAAGCTTGTGCGGTGGCCGTGGATCTCTTAAGATGTATTACATCTCACATTGCATCTAGCCGGGCAGTCGTAACACTTTGCTTCACAGCTCTCAGCCGAACGCACCTGCTACCTGTGAGCAGATTCATATTGTGACGGCACATGGACATAATTCCACTCTCCCAACAGCATCTGCTACAAAAGTCATTAATGCTCGTTAATTGAACCTTTTGCTTTCTCGGTGATGTCCTTGGCGGCAAACAGCCATATTTCTTTGTATTCTATACACTACAATGACTGCAATACAATTTGGATTTATATAGCGTTACAATGTAACCACATCTCAAGATTCTGTACATCTGGAGCATATTCTTTTCGGACGTATATAGTTGTATAATGCGTGTCATCATACAGTCCGTCCCCAAGGATAATGACCTATCTTGCACCTGGAGTCGGCAGTCCTTCGGCATCGTATACGGTCGTTATGTTTGTTTCCTGTGATTTGTCTTGTGTCAAGCAAGACCAGCTTTTGAACGGCACACACCTTTCCACAGAGATCACACGCACTTTGATCCGGCTGAGGGTACCTCCAGATCGAAATTCACCGGCCGACTAAAACCACCGCTTCCGACCCTTGCATCCTGGTTTGTTTCGCAGTATCTGCAAGACTCTTTGTCTCTTCTTGGTTTTTTCGGTAAAGTCACGTAGAAGGGAAGTAATAAAATAATAAAAATAAAACATAAAATAATTCGCCTCGACAGACCTGGTTTCACCTGAGGACGGCTGCTTGCGTTGTGGCCGAAACGTCGTGAGAATTATTTTATTGTTTTATTTTTATTATTTTATTACTTCCCTTATACGTGACTTTACCGAAAGAACCAAGAAGATGAATCCCTGCAGTCACGAAAGCTTTAAATCGAAACTCTTTGTCTCTCCAACTAACCGAGTAGCTTGAGCCACGCCTGCGTGCCATTGCTGTCTGTCTTGGCGAGCTTTTCCCGTGAATCTACAGCAGTTGTACACCTCAAACTTGAGTGGATACATCCGTGTCGTGCGAGCACTGACCTCTACCTCTGATTGGAGTGGTGTCCCGCCCAGCAAAGCTGGGTAATGACCACCAAAGTTGGGGCAGCATTGGTTCTTACTCGAGCAGGGACTTCTGTGTTCGTTACTCTGTCTTGCCATTTGATCCCCATCAGACTTATCGGATGTCTTTGCTGGAGATTGTTGAGTTGGTTATGTAAGCGGCGATGGTAAGGGGGTCCAAGTTTGTGAGTCAAAAGGGGAGTGCTTTCAGCGACTGCTCTCTACACTGCACGTTGTCCTTATTGCTATGCCTGCTTTGTCCCGTATACGCTATCGAAGGCAACTGAAAGCGGATGAGGCTCTGCTTTGTCTATTTTTAATCTCTTGGTCCAGACTACGTGTCATTTGTCACTGTGCTTCCCAGATATGTGAACGTGCTGATTGAGTTAAGTTTGTTGGTTCATTTGTATCCTGGCTGCAGCTCCACTGCTCTCAGGAGCCGGTTGATGCATTACCTCAGTTTTCTCGAGGCTCAGTTATATAATGCGTATGCTGTATATATATTATGATGACATGAGACAACCATGTGTGTAAGTGCCTCTGTTTTCCGAACTTCAACTTGATAGAATCAAACAACCAAACTTCCCTGGATGTTCCTCAAAAATGCTTCTAAATTCAAGCATGCTTCCATTTCCGATGATTGGCTCCCTATGACGCTCGGATGATTTTGTCTCACCAAGGACATCGCATTTTTGGAGAGTGGCCAATAATGCACAGTCCTACCATGAAATGCCTGGAGTTTCTTCCTGATTAAAAGTTTTGTGGATCATAAGCAATCACTCTACAAGAAAGTTTCTGCTTGGATGAGTCTTTTGAGGCACGTCACCCGCTGCCTTTATATTAATACCTGCTGTCTCCCTAACAAAGGCCGCTGTAGCTAGCCCACTTTTCTACAGCTGTGGCATGTAGATAGTATGGCAGCCGGAAAACGAAGGTAATCTACGAGATTGACAGCGTCTGCAAGATGAAGTCCCGGTGTGTGTGAGGGCCCCGCTACTGGAACATCCACCGAGAAATGGCTCGAGATGAAGTGGACTACGCTGCAGTCACATGATCTATATTAGTTACTCCGCCTCGCCACACAAAAGCTGACAGTATCTACAGCATTGCCTATCATATTCTTGATCAACGGGCTGATATGGAAGTTGATATATTTTTTATTAATGTGCCACAAGCCTCGGCTTAAAAAAAGCACTACAACCGCAGCTATTTTCTCTCTGTATTGCTCAATCGGAGTGAAATTCGGAAATATACATGGGCGTAGAGACATTCACGGGCATTTAACTTGGGACAAAGTGGTCGTTGGTTACCTGGTTTAGAAAATGCAAGGCCGAAACGCTCGCTCGTTGCCACATTTGGGAAATGACTAAATGTCGTGAAGAGTTGTGTACGCCACTCGGAGTAATGTTCGCACTCGTACTGTCGTCAGCAAGTTCAGCGATGGTGGATCACTAAATCGGAAGCATCAGCTTTGGCAGTTTTCTCATGCCA